AAAAAAAAAAGGAGCTGGATCAGCGTATAATAACTTTTTTTTTTATCCATCCGCTCCTCCTGATCCTAAACGATGACAGTTGGGACATTAGTTCGATTTTATAGCTAGGCCGTTGACAGCTTTTGAAGTTGCTTTGACCACTACTGGATCGCCTAATGGTCAGCCTAGCAGTTACTCCTTACATTCGTTTCGTCTTCTGGAGGAAACATTACAGACATACTTCGCAAGAGATTAGCCATTTTAGGATGTAATGGATGTGAGAATCAACGTCTCATCCCAAATTTTATCACTCCTGGACAGCATAGATAAATTACAGCTGTTAGTCATAAAGTAACATCAAAATACTGAGAAATGTAAGTATCAGATTATAATAAACTACGTAGTAAATCGTACTAAATATTCATGTTTTGGCTGTAGAGACGTCAAAATGTCGTAGAGCTCGAAGTAATCGCTGGGAGCTTGACTTTTGCAGGCCAGAAATGGCGTGCCTTTTTCTAAGAAGGCCGCTATTTGTCCCTTTCCTCCTCTCAGTAATTTAATGTCGCAAGGTGCTGAGGGGCAACTAATATTTCACTTGTAAATATCGCTTTAAGACTGCGTGCAAACCTCATCGGCATGTCTTAAAATCTCAGCTCAAGTAGTTCAGACGTTACTGATTCATGATCCGTTATAACTATAACTGAAATCACGATATTTTCAGAAGACAAATCGTTGGCAATCGAGCAGATAATAATCAGATTACTGTGACTCGCCGGTGTTCAAAAGGTACTGCTTTGGAGCCAGTAAAAGTTCATTAGTATTTGCTTGAAACGTCTCTGTTTCGCGAACTGCGGTAACAACTTGACGTGCTTGTTTGTGCTGCACATCTTCAGGCTTTGCTTACTTGGAAGCGTTGCTATCTTCGAGGATCAAACTTCTCTGGTTCATATTTGATTGTACTGACACTGCTAGTAGCAAATTTCTCTTTCCCCAAACTTCCCCTTTCTTCCTTTAAACTTCTTTTGTTGCACAAAGTGCCTGCTAGAACTTTCTTTTGGTCCTTCTTTTCACCTTAAAAAACTTAGTAAGTCGACTGAATGGGCGCAGCAATACTTCTTCATACACGATGTTTTCATTGCTACTGTTAGGGACTAGTCAGCTTCTCCTTTTCTTAATTTACTAAGTCTTAAAACAAAAAAAAAATTTTTCTGATTTGTTCTTTGTTCAGGATCGAAAGGCCTGGCATAGCTGCGTTCGGCGTGTGGGAGCACCCTAGTAACATTGCTGACAGAGGATATCCACACTGATAACCCGAGCAGTCTTGGTATTCTTGGCAAAAATTGATCTGCAGCTATTTTGACTTAGATTCAGGGGGAGTTTTTTGATTTTAATCCCCACCCAGCTGATACATCAACAAGCGGTTCAAATCTTCATCCTCAGTGTGTAAAAGAGAAATCATCGGGGATTTTTTCAGCACACAAATTATCAAAATGCGGGATGATTTGTGGTTGCTTCTAGGGGCTCTGCTACTACTGTATCCTCCCTTCTTACAGAAGTAAATTATTGCATTGGACGTGTACGCTTCCCATTTTTAATGCGATAATTTCTTCTTAGTACTTATTTTCTGTCTCCAAACGTATGACGTATATGTGTGTGTGTTTGCATGTTTTATTCCTATCTGAGTATGTATCACCTTATCACAACACGCTTCGGTAGAGTAAGTGGACTTTGAACGGATCGAGGGTTTGGACGTTGTATCAGTTG